TTCAGACTCTCTCAATCTGAGTCTCTAGCGGGCGACTAACCTCCACCGGAGTAAACAGATTGAGGCCTTAACAAACAAAACCTCCACTACCGGAGTAAATCCGGTACAGAATAGTGAGTTGGCTCCTCGACTAAAGTCACCAACTCCCTACCTTCAATCAAGGATGCTCTATCAACCTAGGCAGATATTCTCATTCTAGGTCAAAGCAGAAACAACAGGAATTTGATCAGGATTCAAGTCATTCAATCATTCAAACCTCAATCGAATATAATCAAATCATAGAATCAGTACTTGGGTTCATACAATCAAAGCCTAACATACAAATCTAGGGTTCTCCATACCTAGATGAATGGGAGAACTACTCCATGGAGAAAGAAGCAAAAGTAGAATCAGACGCGGAATTCATACTGTGAAGGATGGATTCCTGCTCTTGGACGTTGATCGGCACTTCTCCAAGCTCAAACCGGCCTCCAATGGTGTTGAAGATCAATCTAGGGCAGTTGGAGACTCTTGTTCGTCACTTTCTCTCTCTAGGAATCGCTCTATTTCTCTCAAAACTCGAAACCCCTTCTCTTTGGCTGAAAATCTGCTTAAAGGGCATCAGTGGCCAAAGCACGGTCGAGGGCACGGCCGTGTAATGCCTCAGCCCGCCCGTGCTTTGGCTACTTTTAATTACACGGCCAGTGCAATGGGGGAAACACGGGCGTGTTTTGGAGAGGACACGGCCGTGCTTTGGTTGGCACGGCCGTGCTTTCAGCCCGTGTTTTTAGCCAATATTTGCCAACCCGAATTTGCTCTCGGCAGTAAAAGCACGGCCACAGAACACGGCCGTGTTCTGTTTTAGGTCTGCCCGTGTTTTGGCTCCAGCTTGACGAAATGACTTCCGAATGCCCCGAAACTCGTGCTTAGCCTTTCCTTTGACGCCTGGGACCTGAAATATGACAAAATAGCACAACCCGGCGTAAAATAGGCCAAAATACACGACTATGCCTCTCAAACGGATAAGAATTAGGGGTGCAAATACGTGCAATTACATCGTTATCAACATGTCATAGCAGACTGTCCCTTAATGTAGAAAGAGAGAGCTTATACAGCTACATGGAGCTGCAGTGAAGATGATGAAGATGAGGAGGACATTAAGTAGGAAGCTTACATGGCAATTGAAAGAAGCGACATCGCGGAAATTGAAATACAAGTAAGACCATACTACTCTGACTCCTATAGTGAAGATGAGCAATTAGATGAGACAATTTTGGACATTCAAAATGAATTCATTAGAGTCAAACAGAAGTATGTTTTGATTACATCTAGGTATGAAAAACTACTTGAAGAAGTCACAACTTTGAAAGTCGAAAAGTTAGATGTAGAGAACTAGCTCATGTGTGCTATGACTGAAAATGATGAGTTGAGGAGTAAGGTCAATTTAGCTGAAGCTGAAGTTGAGAGATTGAAGACTAAATGTAAAGTTAAAACTCTCTCGGGTAGAAATCTGAGTAAAAGACATAAACAGTCACAAAAGGCAAGAAACACTGAATGTTACTATTGTCATAAAACTGGACATCATATTGCAGAATGTAGAAAACACATAGCTAATGAAAAACGAGTAAAAAGCTTAACTGTTTCAATTGTCATGAAGTAGGACACTCAAGTAAAAACTGTTCAAGGGTTTTTGAAATGGGAAGTGTAACCAAATTAGTTTGGATACCTAAAAACAAATAAAATAAATTGTTTTGCTGACCTGTCTCCAAGTGAGAATGGCAGACATCGTTTGGATTCCGGATAGTGGATGCTCACACCACATGACGAGGGATAAAAGGCCTTTTACTAATCTAGTTCTAGGAAAGAAAGGGAAAGTCTTCTTTGGTGATAACTTTAGTACTGAAATTCTAGGAAAAGGGCAAGTAGGAATCATGCAATCTATTAATAACGTCATGCTAGTTAAAGATCTCAAACATAATTTACTCTCAATAAGTCAAATGTGTGGAAGTAAAAACAGAGTGATATTTGAACCAGAAAGGTTCTATGTTGAAGAAATCTCTAGTGGTAAAATACTCTTTACTGGCAAACGAAAGGGAAAACTCTTCACAATTGATCTGAATGACAAAGCTGGATTCAATGAAACTTGTTTAATCTCTCTTGATAAAAATGACCAGGTAGAATGGCATCGTAGATTAGGTCATGTAAGTGTCAGTACCCTGTCGAGACTAGTAAATCTGGGTTTAGTCAGAGGAATTCCAACAATCCATAGTAAGAAAGAATTTTTTTGTGATGCTTGTGCTAGAGGAAAGCATACTCGAGCCTCTTTCAAAACCAAAGCGGTCATCTCTACAAACAGGCCCTTATAACTACTTCATCTTGATTTATTTGGACCTAGTAATATATATAAAAAGTTTGGGTGGGAAATATTATGCATTCGTGATCATGGACGATTTCTCTAGATATACTTGGGTGCTCTTTCTCACTAGTAAAGATGAAGCCTTGTCAGAATTCAAAACCTTTGCTGCTCGAGTAGAAAATGAGAAACATACCAAAATCATCAGCATTAGGAGTGATCACGGTGGAGAATTTGTGTCTGAAAGCTTTGAACTATTTTGTAATGAAAAAGGAATGCTACATAATTTCTTTGCACCAAGGACACCACAAAAAAATGTTGTCAAGAGGAAAAATAGAACACTAATTGAAATAGGAAGAACGATGCTTAATGATTATGGAGTATCTAAGCAGTATTAATACTGCTTGTTACATAACGAACAAAGCTTTAATTAGATCAAAACTAAATAAGGCACCCTATGAACTATGGAAGAACAAAAAATCTAACTTAGGATACTTTCATCCTTTTGGGTGCAAATTCTTTGTTCTGAATACTAAAGATCAGTTAGGAAAGTTTGATTCAAAATCAGGCAAAGCAATCTTTCTGGGTTACTCTATAAATAGCAAAACACATAGTGTCTACAATAAAATGACCCTCAAAGTTGAGGAGTCCATTACTGTGGTATTGATGAGTCTACTAGTAAGTGTGCAGAGACACTAGAAGATGATGAGGACTTCAGACTTAGCTTAAGTCAATCCAAGGAAGCTGATACTGTGACAGGTAGCACAAAAACTGCTTAGGATGGAATTCTTGAAAGTGTGCACAAACCAGAAGCCCCTCCTCACATCCAGAAGTGTCATCCGCCCTCTCTAGTGATTGGGCACTTAAACCAAGGTATGGTCACTCGGTCTAAAATATATCCTGAACATACTGCCTTTATATCCTTGATAGAACCTAGGAATATTGATGAAGCCTTAGAGGATGAGTTTTGGAATGGTGCAATGCATGAAGAAATGCAACAGTTTGAATGAACTAGGGTCTAGGACTTGGTTCCAAGACCTAAAAATAGAACCTTAATAGGAACTAAATGGGTTTATCGAAACAAATATGATGAAATTGGAATAATCATAAGAAATAAAGCAAGATTAGTAGCTCAGGGTTATAACCAATAAGAAGGCATAGAATTTGATGAAACGTTTGCACCAGTGGCTAGATTAGAGGCAATTAGATTATTATGTGCTTATGCTACCTCAAAGGGTTTTAAGTTATACCAAATGGATGTAAAAAGTGCTTTTCTTGACAGGGATTTAAAAGAAAAGTGTATGTTGAACAACCCCCTGGTTTTGAAGATCCTGAACACCCTGATTATGTATATAAACTGAATAAAGCCCTGTACGGTCTGAAACAAGCTCCTCGAGCTTGGTATGACAAGCTAAGTCAGTTCTTAATAAATGACGGGTTTCGTAGAGGCCAGGTAGACAAAACATTATTCATAAAAAACGAGGGTGAACACACTTTACTTGTTCAAGTGTATGTTGATGATATAATCTTTGGGTCTTCAAGTCAACAAATGTGCAAAGATTTCGAAACCTCTATGAAAGGTGCTTTTGAAATGAGTCTCATGGGTGAACTTAACTTCTTTCTCGGTCTGCAAATTAAGCAAACAAGCAAAGGAATTTCCATTAGTCAAACCAAATATCTAAATAATATGCTAAAACGATTTAGTCTCACTAATTTGAAAGCTGCCTCTACTCCTATGGGTTATTCGATCAAACTCGCTAAGGATGAATCTGGAAAACCTCTAGATAGTCTCCTGTTTAGAGGTATGATAGGTTCCCTGCTATATCCGGCTGCAAGCAGGCCAAATATTATGTACAGTGTGTGTGTTTGTGCTCGTTTCCCAAGCTGCCTTAAAGAAAGCCACTTTTCCGCCATTAAACGAATCTTTAGATATCTTGCTGGAACCTCTAGTTTAGGACTCTGGTATTCAAGTGATTCTAGCCTGGAGTTAATCAGCTATAGTGATTCCGACTATGCTGGTTGTTCCATTGATAGAAAAAGCGCCTCAGGTGCTTGTCACTTTCTCGGATCCTCTCTTATTTCCTGGTTCAGCAAGAAACAAAGCATTGTGGCTCTCTCTATTGCAGAAGCAGAGTACATTGCTACTGTTTTTTGCCGTACTCAACTTCTCTGGATGAAATATCAACTCATTGATTATGGTATCCAATTTGGTTCAATTCCAGTCATGTGTGGTAATACCAGTGATGTCAATATGAATAAAATTCCAATTCAGCATTCTAGAACTAAGCACATTGAGGTTCTTTATCATTTTATTCGGGATCTTGTTCAAGACAGGCACATTCATCATCAATTCATCAGCACTGATTTTCAGTGGGCTGATATCTTTACGAAGCCTTTAGGAGCTGAAAAGTTTCTTTCTATTCGTCGAGAACTTGGTCTCTTTCCGCTGGAAGAGATCTCTGTGATCCCTTAATATCTGTACCAATTCTCCAGTTTCCTCATTCTTTCCCCTTCTCCTCTAATTTATGATTAATTGATTCTTTCCCTCCTTAGGTTTTTGCTCTTTCCTCTTCTGCTTCCCTACGATGACTTTATATAGGTACTCTCTTCCATTCTTTTCTTATATCACTAGCTCCCATTAGGGTTTCTCAGATCTTCATCACTATCCATGGCTCCCATCAATCCTCAACTGCATCCTGCAGTCACCTTCAACAACAAAGGTTTTCACAAACCCTCGTGTTATCACTGCTACCTTAGCCACTTTGGCCACCGTCCCCTCTATCCATCATTTCCCATTCATCCTTCCTCCTTCCAAAAGTATAGTCTGACATCTCTGGGCTCGTTCACAATCTCGGATGGGATTCTCTTTTTGAGAATCAATGGTTCAGCCAATGTCTAGAGGCAGTGCGCATGTTCTATGCCATCCTGAAACAAGGTCCTGGTTCCAGCCCTTCCTCGTTCACCACAGTGGTGTACAATCACGAGATTCTAGTCACGCCTTCTCTTCTGGCTGCAACTCTTGATCTTCCCTATCAAGGATCATCTGCCGACACGAATGACGACTTTGTAGAGCTTGTCTTCGACTTCGGGTCCGCGCTAGAATCTCTCACTCACGACATCGGCCGTTACTTCCCTAACATGCTTTCAGCTGGACATTTAGCTGATCTTTTCAAAGTGATTCACTTTTTCATCACTCGAATCCTTCTTCCCCATAGTCTTTCCAGTGCTGAGTTAGTTCACCCTTCGGATGTCTAGATCATGGCCAATGCACGAGATGGAGTTTGTCTCAACTTCTCATTACTCATGTTTGCGCACATGACCAAGTACGGCGATGAGAACTACTCTAGTCCCCTTCCCTTCGGTCCTCGGATAACCTGTCTCCTCTACACCGTTGGCATTGATCTCACAGACAAGCTCATTATCAGTGATGTTCGAGACGATCTGCGCGCCCAACATATTTTTGCTCATGTCGATGCTTTTATTGGCAGACAAAAGCCTGTCATTCGCTCAGGAGGAGAGCTGTCTGTTGCTATTCCTGCTAAACAGTTGGTTCATGCCCACTTAAATGCTGCATCTGTAGCACTGGACCGGAAAATCCGTGTTGTCAAGAGCAAATAACTTTCTAGTTTAGAGCACTATAAGGCTCGTATTAAGATAGCAAAGGAAGTCGAGGCATATGGGTTACAGGAGGAAGAGGCAGATGATGTGTCTTATTATGAGTCTCCTCTTCAGTATGAGTCCTAGATGGGTAACCAATTTAGGAGGAGTCCATAGGAAGATCTTGTAGGTTGCTATTTCTGTGTCAGTTAGTGATTGAGTCTCAAGTCAATAAAGTTGTCAGTGGTTGATTTCATTCTGGTCAGGTTATGATTGTATCTTGTGTTGCTTGCTTCATTCAAATCAAATAAAATGGACTCCATCTTCTCTTCTGATTTTCCTATATGATGTTAGCTATATCTGTTTGGAACAGGCTACACCAACTGTTGTTGAGTTGTGCAGATAAGTTATGAGAGCAGCAAAAATTGGAGCAAATGGCATGCTTAGGGGGATAATGTTGAGAGAAGCAGATCGACGCCACTCATCAAACAACCTGGCAGGACGAGCTGTATTAGGAAAGAAAGCTAATGATGCAAATCAAGCGGATTGAGAATCTTACAGAAATGGGAAGAATGGGGTACTTGCAAAAAAGAAGCAGGACAAAATTGGCAAGAAGAAGAATTCTTCTCCAAGGGCTCCTTTGCAAGAAATATATATATATATTCAGTGAGTACTGAGCGGAGCTGAGAAGAGTTTTTCCCATACATGATTTGAAATAAAAGAGAGAGCTTGAGAAGCTAGGCTCTTTTGTAAAGTGTGATCGTTAGGACTAATCAGGGAGATTGGCTGGGAAAAATTGTGGGTGTTAAACATGGAGTTTAAACACCAAGGGCATAGCTTGGTTGATCAGCTGGGAGCTGATTAGGAGTTCACCAAGTTTGTAAAAAGGAAAACACTGAAGTAGTGCTTACGTAGGAGATCTCAAGAAGAGAGTCTCCTACCGTGGATTAGTCGATATTGAGATCTTCATTCTCTCAATATCAGATACCACGTAAAAATACGGTTTGTTCTTGTGTGTGCTTTTGATTTTCAGTCACTGGTGTCTTCTTGTTGTTGCTCTCTATTTTGTGTAGGAACAGAGTACAGAGAAGGAGTTCTGTGCTTCTCAACGAAGAAGACAACGCACTCACAGGCTTGGATCCAGTCAGCATGCCCAAACGGATTATTAGAGAATTTGAAGTGTTGGGCTTGAAGTCCATCTCGGAACTTTGTTTATTCAACATAAGTTTAAATCAAACAGAAACGAAATTCTTTTTTATTTTACTTCATAACATTTCCATCACTCGATTGCGTCACTTGCTTTGAGATTGTTCGATTAGGGTTTGGTAGCAGAAAGGGGAAAATCAGGTGAAGAGGTCTGAACGTCTCGTGCTCGACGCCTTAACAGACTGATTGTTATTCCTGGGAGTGGGAGGCCAAGGAAGCTATTTGTGGGCTTATTCCAAGAGTGGCAAAAGCTTTTAGGCGAGACATCTCTATTATTGGGACTACAAAACAATCGGTGATGGTGGTGATTTTGTTGTTATTAGTGGTGAGAGCTGGTCGAGACAGTGGGTTTGAGTGGGCAGATTAATGTTGATACGAGATGCGGTTTCAAAACCTCCAGTCGCCGGTGATTGATGGAAAACAACGTTTAGCTTATGTACGACCACTGGTTCTTGGTCCAAGTAGGAAAAATAAAAACGAAAGTGGTAAAAGGACATCTCAGTAATTTCAAGCACTCATTAAAATTGATTTAGCGATAATATAACAATCAACTGACAGATAAATAATGGAAGGGTAAATTTGATAACTTTGTTATAGTAGAGGGGCAAGATTGTTGAGAAATATTGTAGAAGGGCATATTTGAGAACTTAGCAAAGTAGGGGTCAAAATATACCTATAACCCTAAATTATAATATTAAAAAATAAACAAATAACTAACAAACAAACATCACTTTCACTTCCACTCTCTCTCCTCTCTCATTATCATTTTACCCCGTTACCTTTATATTTGTCGTCCACTTCAAAAAAATAATAATTGAAAAGCCTCCTTCACCTTTCTCTCTCCACTTTCACCCCAATTTGGGGGGCTTGTTGAAATAGTAGGTTTGCACCCCTAAACCCCCTACCGTTCAAAATACTCCCAAACTAGTGCAAGTTCATTGGGAAGGGGATTTACCCCTAGCTTTTACTCCCCCCTCCACTTCCTCCTCTAAACAAACAAAGCGTTAAAGTTCGTGTTTAAATCCCGTCCCGTACAAGTAGATTGCAAATTTACAACTTTACACTCGAAATAATTAGGTAGGGATGGCTAGGGGCGGGCAAACAATTTGCGGTTAGCGGGTAACCGTCGGTTACAACCGAAATCGGTCGGTTATCGGCTAATAAAAATCAACTTCATTATACAGCACTCGATGTTCAGAGGGTTGGCGAGAGGGTTCAACTAGCCGAGTAACCGACGACAAAAACCGTTGGTTACCTGGATAACCGACCCCTCTTGCCAAAACACCAAACGACCCCGCACCACCACGTAACAACGACCTCCCAATCCAGCAAACCTAACCCCCTTCTCCCTCCATCTCTCTCAATCGACCTCCCCTCCGTTTTGGAGAGAAGGGACTACTTTATTGGTTATGCGGCTAACCAAATCTAAAATAAAAAACTGACCAGTTAGTTTTCAGTTAACCAAAGGTGTACTTCGGTCGATGATCGGGGTGGGCTTTTACATGTGTTTCAACTAACAGATAAGGCGATAACCAACATTTCAGTTTTTGGTCTAACCAAAAATGACCGTAATCCAGCCCTAGAGATGACATAAATATCCACAATCGTGGATATCTGCTCGAGTCCGATCTAATTTGGTAGGGTAGTTAACACTTGAACTCGAAGGATTTTTAGTGGGTATGGGTAAAACCTATGTCCGAATATTGTGGGTAATGAGTGGGCATGGTTTCTCACTATCCAACCCGAACCTGTCCAATTATACACATGCATATGTTTTTTTTGTCTAGGGATGATCATTATTTTTCTCAACATATAGTATATTTAGCATTCAAATATAACATTTTCTTGAAATTGTGTTGTTTTAATGAATGTTTTCATTCTAGTGATGTATTGTCACACTTTTCCTCCTTGTAATGGGAGTGTACGCGCATATGTTAACATGTTTGTTAGAGTTATAAAGAGAAATTATTATCCATGGATAACCGTGGATACCCAAAACCCGAACGGGTATGAGCATGATTTAAATTTTCTACCAAATTCTTATGTGGGTACATGTATGGGCTAAAACTCGAACTATTTTTGATAGGGCAACGGATATGCACTATACTCTCCCAACTCGACCTTTTGCCTTCCCTATAACTATAGGTGTCAAAACAGAACCCAACTTGACTAACCCGCCCGACTAAACCGACCTGTAATCCGATCGCAACCCGAATTGACTAAAAGACAATGACCCGCAACCCGCCCGACCTGCAACCCAATTGACCCGTGACCCGATCAACCCGTAACCCACTTAACCCGCAACCCATTTAACCTGAACCCGATTGACCCACAACCCGATTAAACCCGTAACCCGATTGACCCGAACCCGATTAGCCCAAACCAGACTAACTTGTAACTCGCCCGTTTGACTCGAATAATTACTATATTATATATTATATACAATTTTAAAATGAATTTTGTTTGTTGTAAGACTAAGTAAAACTATTTTTTCATTTTATAAAGGAAATTCAAAAAATTATATTGAGTTGAAATTATGTATTTTTAATAAAAGAAAGAAGAGAAAGAAATAATGGAGAGTTTTGATGCTTTGTTTTATAGGAAGAGAAAGAAGTGAAAATTTTGGCATTTTCAACTTTTTGGGGGAAAAAAGAGGGAAATTTGATGCTTAAATTTTTGGGAAAAGAATGAAGGGTGAGTTTTGGTGTTTTGGTTTATAGGAAGAGAAAGAAGTGGAAAATATCGGTGTTTTCAACTTTTTGGAGAAAAAAGAATCGGAAAATTTTGTAATTCAATTTTGGAAAAAGAAAGAAGGGGGAATTTTGGTGCTTTGGTTTATAGGAAGAGAATGAGGTGCGAAATTTTGATGTTTTCAACTTTTTGAGAAAGAAAGAAGAGGGAAATTTGGTGATTCAAGTTTTGGAAATAGAAAGAAGAGTGAGTATTGGTGCTTTTGATTTATAGGAAGAAAAAAAGGTGGAAAATTTTGATATTTTTGATTTATGGAAAGAAAAATAAGGAAATTTTTTGTAATTTGTATTTTTTAAGAGAAATAAGTGAGAAAATTTATCACAGTGTTTACTTCCCCCTTCTCATTTTGATATCTTCATCCCAACTTTTTACTTCTACAATGTTCCCTTCCTCACTTTTCGTTCTTCCCATTTCGTTTTCCCTCTACAATTTGTCACTACCAAAACGAAAATCTAATGAGGGAAAATGCCCCCCCAATTTGACCCACCAACGTTTCAATTCCTTTATTATTAAGCCCGTTTTCCATCTCCCATAAACTCTTGTTTATAATATTAGTGTCTTGTCTAGATTTTGCATATGGATATAAATTAGGATTATTGATTGACAACGACTTAAATATTTTTTTCCGTGAACCTTGATTCATATTTTTTTGTTAAACAAAAAGTTTATACTTCACTGAGAATTAAGCTTGTAATTATTATATATATAATTCATATCTTTTTTGTTACTCAATTTTGCATCCCGTTGCATTGTCGTTGACTCGTCCCGAATGCCACAATTAATTCCCGCCTAAGGTCCAAGTATAAACCTTAGTCGGGTGCAGTACAAGGCAAGTATGTTTAAATATTGACTCGGGCCGGTCCATGTACCCCTATTTCGGTCATTTGAATCATTATCTAGCAACTCGGTTTTGGTTGAAACGTTTGGTAATTAAAGTAAAGCAAGGTAAAAGTAAATGGTTTTGAAAGCTCTTTTGTGAGAAGGATCACTCGGGTGTCGCTTCCCCCTAACTACTACCATGGTATGTGAATCGAAACGATTGCTATGGACAAGGTGACCGCGAACCGCTAGGGGACGCACATATTGTCGTAGACCACACTCTCGATTGCTAAATCGAGGGATACATTATAGGCTGTTACCCGGCCCTCTCAGTTTAGGCAATCGATGGTTGACTTACTCCCTCACTCAAC